ACCAGGTACCAGGCATGTTGCCAGATACTGGGGATGCAAAGTCTAATAATGGCTAGCACCGGGAACGTGACCACCCCAGCAGGTGCTGCTCTCAGCCCCTGACATATTAATGTAATCCTCACAGCAATCTCATGAGGTACATACTATTATTATCTCCATTTTACAAATGGGAAACCAGGCATGAGAGGGCAGGTAACTTGTCTGAGGTCACACAGTAAGTGGCAGAATTGGGCTTTGAACCAGGCAGTCTGGCTCCAAAGTCAGTGTATTTACACGCTGTGCATGACTAAAGTAAATGAGGTGTTTCTTGCTTAGGAGGCAAGAAGGAGAGTAGGATGTATCAAACATTCGTGTGCACCTGACCTTGTGCTGGGCACTTGACAGCGATGATTTCCTTGACTCTTCCCGACAAGTCTGAGGTAGTAGGTTATACTCATTTTACAGATGGAAAAACTGAGACTCAGAGGTGAAGCAACTTGTCCACGATTGTGCTACCCGTGGGTGGGGGTCGCATCTCCTGATGCAAACCTGCCCAGAGTGGCTTTGGTAGAGTGGAATGGCAGGACTCGCACCTCTGAACTGAGAGAACAGCACAGAGGATCATGTGATGACTAGAGCAAAAGGAAGCAAAAGCTCCAAGGGAAGGTGAGCTGGGGGAGGCCTGGGGTTGTGGGGGGTGAGGGAGCTCTCATGGGAGCGGGGCTTCACCTGCCCTCATTCCTGGGAGGGGGCCTGAGCGTGAGCAGCAGAGTCGCGTGGGCCCCTGGGGTGACGGTGATGCTGTCTCAGGTCGGTGATCCCCACCTTACCTCGCAGCCTCTTTGCCGGCCCCCTGGCCCCACCACGCCTGCCTTCAGCCATGCCGCTCCTATTTCTGTGTCCTGAGCACGTCACACTCATTCCAGCATCAGCCTCCAGACCTTTGCTCCTGCTGAGCGAATCTCTGGCCCTGCAAACAGTCTTTCTTTCCCGGCCTGTCATGACCTTCCTTCAAGACCTGCCTTTGCTGAGAAGCCTCCCCTGACTTGGGACCCCTTCTCGAGCTCCTAAGCCTCCTGGTCTCTGGCCTGCTCACCCCGTCCTGGGCACAGAAGGCTGTGGGCTGTGCTGGTTGCCCATCGCTCTCCCTTCCCAGCCGGCCTCCCTTACACTCAAATTGCTTTGTGTTCTCCACCTCTGTCCACCTGGACTGTCACGTGGCTCCATGCTGGTCTCCTGACATGCTCTTCCTCCCCCACCCCACTCACTACTCTATTGCTCTTTGCCCTTTGAAGCACACGCAGACCTCCCCTCCCCCAGGAAGCCCTCGAGGCACCCCCTTGGAGTTGAGTGCTCATCCAGACCACACCATCTCTGTTCTTGTACTGACTTCTATTTTTGCCTTGAGCACATTGTATTTTCTCCCCTACTGCATTGTAACTTCATAAAGAACAGCCTGGCATCTCATCCACTTTTGTATCCCAGCCAGGAACAAATGGTGGTTTAGCCAAAGTGAAGTATCGTCATGCACGTGAAGGCCCACTTATTCTCTGGCGTCTGAGCTTGGGTGTCTCCTCCTCTGAGAAGCTCCCCTGACTCCCCCAGGGTGGGATTCCGAGTGCCTCGTGATCATTCACACACCTGGCTCGGGGTCACCCCTGGTTCTCAGCACAGGGCCTGCTGGCGAAGGAGCAAATGCACTGACTGCGCGTCAGCCCCTGGAGGGCGGGATGGCCCTGCTTTCGTCTTGGTGCCCGCGTCTCCTTGGTGCCCATCACAGACCCTTGAAAATGGCAGGTCTCTAGGACACACGTTTGGCAAATGGCTGAGGCAGTTGTATGGGTTCCAAGACATCTTGGGGCCAGAGGGGAGGGCTGAAGAGAATTCCAGGTTGTGGGGCATTTCTGGCCAAGCACACGAGTGCTCCTGAGACTGGGGCATTGGGTGTGGGCTGGACTCCCCTCCGAGCCTGCCTGTGCCCTCTGAGGATCGCCAGGCATCTGCCACACTGCCTCCCTCTGCACGGTGCCTTTACCCTCTGGCCTGGCCCCTAGGGGAAGGCGAGGCTGTGCTCCGGCCTGCCCACGACCCCCAGCCGTCCATTACCCATCCGAGTGCCCACTGCCTCCCAGGCAAGGATTAGGGCTGGCCTGAAGCACAGATGTGCCAGACTCGCTGCTGGGCACGGGGGAAGCAACCTAGTTCAGCCCCCTTGGAAGGCACACACCTCTGCGTGGTCCAGGGTGCCAGCCCTGGTCTCTCAGGGGACTTCCCGGCCACCTTCGCCCTGAGGGCTCTTCCATTCCTTCAAGTGCCCAGGGCAGGTGTCCTTCCCTTCCCCGCCTCCCCCTGCTCCACCTTCCCTGGACCTTGCATTTGACTCCTCAGTCTCCCAGCCTCTCAGCCACCCTCTCTCTGCCTGCAGCCCCTCCATGTCCTGGTCCCCCTTCCCCTGCAGCCCCTCCACGTCCTGGTCCCCCTTCCCCTGCAGCCCCTCCATGTCCTGGTCCCCCCTCCCCTGCAGCCCCTCCATGTCTGGTCCCCCTTCCCCTGCAGCCCCTCCATGTCTGGTCCCCCTTCCCCTGCAGCCCCTCCATGTCTGGTCCCCCTTCCCCGACTCTGGCCTCTATGCGTATTTTTAGCTGCCACTCTCAGTGGTGACAGCATGGTTAGCCCCTCGTTTCAACACAACCCTGGCCCAGGAGTTGAGTTGGGGAGCCCTGGCTGGCACGGCCCCACCCTTGAAGGGGTTGAAGAGATGAGCACTCAGGCCTTCGCCCCTAGTTCCCCATCCAGCACCAGGGACTGGTATGCCCAGTAGTTGGATAGGGGGGCAGAAGCCGGGCGCGAGGAGGATGCCCTCTGCCCAGAGTTGAAGTCCCTAGGTCAGAGGCCCTGAGCAGGGCAGAAGGGTAGCTTTCTCTGCCAGGTGGTTAGAGTGCCCTGAGGGGAGGTAGTGGGGGGAGAGGGAGGGATGGAGGGGAGGCAAGGACTGAGAAGAGAAATTAGGTCCGGAAAGTGGGTGGGTGGGTGAGAGGGGACGCAGGGGCATCTGCTGCAGAGCTTCCTTCAGGCTCCAAAAGCATCTCCACACTTCCCTTTCTCTCCCCTCCTCCCAGGTCCTGGGAGGATTTGCCCTGTACTCCCCCTCCCCCATGCCCCCGCCCCAGGCGTTGCCACGAGGGTGGGGGGTGGGGTGGGGGGAGGCCTGCCTCAGCTGTCTGAAGGATGGAGGGGCTGGGGAAATAGGGCTAGGTGCCCAGACGGCCGCGTGTGTGGGAGGGGATGTCCTCAGATGCCCTCCACCCGGCAGTCCCCGCTCTGACGTGGGTGCCCCCCCTCTCCCCGCCCGGATTAGTGGCAGCTTGGCCTGACTCTCCGGGGCTCCTTCCCCCGCCCCCGCCTGCTGCCCTCCCCTGGGCAGGGGGCTGCTCCACCCGAGGGGCACTGTGCTTGCCCAGGTAAGGGGCTCTGGGGACAGCGTGAGGGCACTGGCTCGTGAGTGCTGCTGCGCTTGTCAGCATGAATGTGTGTCTCCGTGTGTTGCGTGTGGCAGTGTGTGAGGGGTTGCCGTGGGGCAGGGTGGGCCCATGCGTGTCTGGGGGTTCTGGTCAGCTTGCCTTTGTCCACCGACCCAGCACTGTGTCCACGTGTTGTGTGGCTTTCCTCTGTGTTTGTGTCTTTTGTGTGTCTCCTCAGCTCTGCTCAGTCCTCAGGCTACCAGGGCTCTGTGGGCCTGTGGCATGGGCCGTGGAGCAGGATGGGGTGCTGGGTGAAGGGGAAAGGGGGCTCCTTCCCCGACCTCACGCCCGTGACCCCCTGGGCATTTCAGAAGCCTGTCCTGAGTCCTGGTCTAATCCAGAGACTGTGACCTGACAAAGCAGACATGGCAACTGGGTGGGTGGGGTGGAGGGAGGTATCTGCTCCTGCTCCCCTGGGACAGTCCCCATCCCCTTCGGGGATGACAGTGACAGGCCCTTAACGCCCCCCCCCCCAACAGCCCAGGCTCCCACCGCCCTGGCCAGCCTCTTCTAGGCCCCAAGCC